CCAGCACAAGAAATATATTTCAAATTATGTTATTATGTACCAAAAGTAATAAGAAGGTAAAATAAATATTGTGAAAAAAAAATCCACACGTAATCCTTTCATGTTATATACATTTGTTTTAATAACTATAAATAACAGCATTAATCAGTACAAAAGCACAAAAACTCTAATAATATTGTTACCTATTGTATTTGATTTAAATGTCTGCTTCCCACTGAGGGAAGGAAGGTTTTCTAAACTGTTTAGGTTTGTATTCAATGGCCACCATGCATAAAAGTTGAATTTTTAAAAAGATTTCTCAAAAAATGTCTGCCAACAATAGCCAAGTGCAAAGCCATGATCACACATATATCTATGTGCATCACATAACAAGGTTGGCACAAGTATAGGCATTAGCTGTGATCTGGGAAAATGCTGTTTGATAGCTTATCTGAACATTATGGTGGGCATGCATAAGGTTTTAGTATGAAATCATGCATGTGAAACACTGAGCAGTAATGAATGTCAGATTCATTGCTTTATAAATGTGCTCCTGGGTGTTCCATTTAATATACGCTGTTATTATTTTGAAAGTTTGTTAAATTAAAAATATGCTATAGATTATATATTCTCTGCAATCACAATATATTATACATATTGTTCTATGATCAGGTCATTTTCATTGTAATAAATATGTCACCAGCTTTCAGATACCTACAGTAAAAGATATATCAGAGCATTATAAAGAAATTCAACATTGTATATAATAAATATATATTGTTATAAAGAGAATGATAATAGATGACTAAAAATTAAATTAGATGCCAGTATTTATTTTAACTCATTGTAATTAGATATTTCTATGATTGAAAAAAATGTAACAATAGAGAAAATAAATCAGCATTTATAAATATAAAACAATATGAAAAAAATATATTTTTAGAAATATATGTATACTTGCTTTTCATAAAAAGGAGGGGGGGAGGACTCAGAAAAAAAATGCTATGTGCACTGGGTTTTAATTGACTGAAGTTTAAATAATCCCATACACGTGTGAATAATCCCATGCATTTCTGACACACATGCACGCACCTCATGTATGTTTTTAGTAAATAAGGTAAAGTATTGAAACATTGCCAGGGATTGAAAGCACAGAGGCTAAATATTTGAACTTTATCAATCAGGCCTGTTATTCCCTTTTTCGCAATAACAGACTCAGTAATCAAAACTCACTGTTTGATATCTCTACCTGTTGTCTTTGAATAGAAATGGTCAACCACAATTTTTTTGTTAAAAAATAAATAGATAGATAGATAGATAGATAGATAGATAGATAGATAGATAGATAGATAGATAGATAGATATGTATTCATTCATAAATAATACAGAATGTAAAATTCCAGATCATACCTCCTTTTAATTACATATTTTCAAAGTGTTTATAATATTTATTTCCTCCATTGTCCATGTTTTTACAAAAGGAATTTAAATGTCTGCTGCATGTAAGACACACAATAGTTAAATGAAATGAAATGCATTTGTAACAGTTGTGCAATTATTCAAACACTAATAAACATTATATACAAGGCATTACTTTAAAAAAAAAAAAAGTTCCTTCAGCTAAATCAATAATACATGTGTGAAATAAAACGATATATTGCAATATTCATTTTATTATTGTTTATAATAATAAACAGATGAGATACTAACAGCAATATAATATTATAGAGTATTAATGTTAACTTGTTATTACCTAACAAGTAACATCAAACTGCAATGTCTAATTAAATTCCACTAATTGGCTTTCAATAAGGTATTTCTTAATAATGAGCCTATCTGTACTCTGTTCTTTTCTACTTACCAATATCCTATGATGCTTGGGAAGGACCAATCAGCAGCCAGACATCCAGGCTCCAGCAGTATGAGGACCACAATTCAGACTTCTCTATTGTAAAGGCAACTTTCCACTTTCATAGAACAAAGTGTTATTATGATGCAATGTCATTTTCTCTGTGTGGAAAAATCCTTTTTATCTGTTTGTCCTTATTTGTCTGAATTAACATGAATGCAAATGATCAAGTTTATTATTCCATTCAGTTAAAAAGAAAATCAGTCTGTAAGCAAGTTCAAAAGCGACGGGAAAAAGACAGAAGCTGTTCTGTCCATGTTATTGTCAGAAAAGTAATTAATATAGCTCAATTTAAAGTAAAATGTGTAAAAATCAGTAAAATGTGTTTCTATACTGCCTTGTTACTGTATCGATGTGCACACAAAATATGCTGGAAAGCTAAAAAAATAGTTGTGGTAATTTGTGATATAGAAATGAATCCTTATCTTACATGGGTACCCCTATAGGTGCACCGAAATTACCGCATGGAGAATGTGTGCTATGTAGGACCTCCACGATCCCATTCTGTCCCTTTCTCCCAGAATTGTCCTCGGCCACTGAGTCCTTGGTATTTGAAGTACCTGTATGTGAGACGTGGAGCCTCAGCACGCTGCTATTAGAGTCCCTCAGAGGGAGAAATCCCAAGGACTCCTGTGTACCTCATTACACTGAAGGACCAGAGAGGCTGAGGTTACCCACTACAACAGCACTGCCATACCCATTCACTTTTTCCTCCTGGGCCAACGACCATCATGTGTGCACAGCAGCCATTCTATGGATTGCTTTCTTTTTCGCTAAAAACATCTTACTAACAGACATTGCGTGTAGATAGTGCTATGTATGCATTAAGACAGATAGAAATAGATAAATAGGTGGATACATACGGATTAATTAATAGATATACACATACAAATAGATAGGAGAGAGCAATAAAGGGAGAAATAACGAGATAGATAGATAGATAGATAGATAGATAGATAGATAGATAGATAGATAGATAGATAGATAGATAGATAGATAGATAGAAATAGAGAGAGCCCTGAGATGAAATTGTTCATCTGAATGTTCCATAGCAGACATGCCACCACTAACAATAGCTGTGTTTAGCTCTAATATCAGTTACATTGTAGCGTTTCTATGTCTTACAGCGCTGACTGCTCACTGCTTCGAATGTGTTCTGTATCTGCTACATGTCAAATAGTCGAGCTTTCAGTCAGCTCTAATATAAAGTAGCAGCTTGTGGAAAACGTACAAAGTAATTGTTACACAGGGACCTCTGCTAGACCAGGAACACAATACAGTCAAGAAGGAAAGCGATGAATATAGGGCAGAGTATGGACATTTAGAAACTCAGTAGAATA